TATTCGTTATGTTCGTAGTCGTTCAGATTATCCACTAGATACATCTCTATTATCATCCGAAGTAACATCTTCTTATCGACGTCGTTCTTCATTAGATCAACAAAGTCTTGATCGATTGAAAGAAATGACTAATAAATCAAAATTTTATAACCAATTACCATGGACTATACGTAAATTAATGATTCGACAATAATTTCGATTTTGTAACAAAAAAAAATAATAAATCATCAAAATCGAAATGCTCAAATATAACCATTCCAATAAGTGATAGTGAATAAATGAATATTATACAGTCCTGGAACGATTAACTACCCTCTAGGAAGTACTACTTCTCTTAATGATACTTTAGGTACATGTCTCTTCGACACTAAATTCTAATCCAAAGTACCAACTCGCCTTTCATCGGTTCACATATACTAGAGTTGATGCCTATAAATTCTCTTTCCCTTGTGCAACATATTTTGGGCAGAAATATTACCAGTATTTTTGTCTTCTACTAAAACTTTCAAATGAATTGATCAAAATCATTGTGGAAAAGATTTATCTTACTGAAAACTTGAATTTCTTTTTCAACATACATTCTTGATAAGAAGACAATATCTCAGTTATTCGTAAAGAGATTTCACACTGCAGATAGCTATGACCGTGACCGTTCAAATCGGACGCCGAACGAAAATAGTTGTACCAACATGATTGAGATAAGATAATATCTGAATTATAACTCCAATACAATCAAATTTTATTATGATATTCATGTATCCAAAATATCATAAATCACAGTATTACTTCCTATAGAACAGCTACTTCTATTCAGAATTGTATTCAAAACTTTTATGTGAAGAAATAGAAACCAATTTATCAATTATGATTGAAGGACAAAATCCATATTTTAGTTATCTTCTTTTTCTTAACATCCGAATTTCTTTGTATACTGATCATAAATCTCAATAAAATCTTTCTTATTTTTGTTTTTTGCGCGAAAAAAAAAACTGTTTCAAATCAAACAAACGAAAAAAAAAATTTAAACACTCGACAAATATAGAGAAAATCAACAAAATGCAGCGCGCAAATGGACGGACCAAAAAGAAGCAGAAGAAGAACAAAAAAAGTACATATATATGAATAAATGCCCATACGAATGGCGCCTTACATACAATATACAAAATTGAGATCGAACAAAAAAGAAAAAAAAGAAACATTCATACACACACACACACACAGATACCAAGAGATTATTGATAAAAAAAAGAAACAGAAAAAGTAGACGATCAAGATTAGAATAGAAAAAAACAAGAAGATCATAGGAAGAATAATTAATAAACATGCGTTC